AACAAACCCAACATCACGTGTAAGTAAGTGAAAGACACGGTCCCAACTTGTCACATTAGATGATACATGAATCATCTGGCGAGGCCTTTTTGCAAATACTTCAAGTTCACCCACCTTCCTTCGATCAATACTAATCGATATCGCAATCTATTCTCCCCAAACTTCTGAATTCTTTTGACTTTCGATTACAAACAAACTCCTCATCTTGCAAGCGTTGGTTGGAGGTCATCTTCTTCTCAGTAAATTCGATTCAATCCCAAAGGTTTGATCCTACATCCTATATATTTGAATCAGACTCGTTCGATCCACTGACTATCATGTATGGATCATATTTCGTCTAACTTGCGTTTTAGATCTTAGAAGCCTTGTTTTCATTGATTTTCTCGATTTGCTCAATCACAGCCGACTCATTCTACTGGATCGATCGATCGGTAACTACGATGTCTGACTTGTGTTTTATTAAAAAGCTTCCTTTTAATTGATTATAGATTTTTCTTACAATACATCACACTTGATCACAACCGACTCAATTGACTCGATTGATCGATACCAAGTCGAACCACACCATCTTTTACAATTCAACCATTGAATTCAATCGCTTGCCAGTTGCTTTGCTTGACCCTGTTTGTTTGACTCCGTTCTACGATTCGGGGTCTCGCGTTCTGCTGGGAAGTTTTTGCATTTTTGGTTTGATTAGTTTTGTTAGTTGTTACTTCATCAATCGTAAGTTTTTCTTACAACTCTTTTTGTCGATTTGCTCTGCTTAATGATCAACCTTGCTTACAATTGTTTTGTGAACTCTACTTCTTTAGGACCTTGTGGTCGTTTGTTTGACTCCGTAGTACAATTCAGGGTCCCCAATACATCACACTTGATCACAACCAACTCAATCGACTTGATTGATCGATACCAAGTCGAACCACACCATCTTTTACAATTCAACCATTGAATTCAATCGCTTGCCAGTTGCTTTGCTTGACCCTGTTTGTTTGACTCCGTTCTACGATTCGGGGTCTCGCGTTCTGCTGGGAAGTTTTTGCATTTTTGGTTTGATTAGTTTTGTTAGTTGTTACTTCATCAATCGTAAGTTTTTCTTACAACTCTTTTTGTCGATTTGCTCTGCTTAATGATCAACCTTGCTTACAATTGTTTTGTGAACTCTACTTCTTTAGGACCTTGTGGTCGTTTGTTTGACTCCGTAGTACGATTCAGGGTCCCGAGTTCTGGTTTCATTCGTTGTGTTAGTTGTTGCTTTATCAATCGTAAGTTTTTCTTACAAATTTTTTTGTAGATTTGCTCTGTTTAATGATGAACCTTGCTTACGATTGTTTTGGGATCTCTACTTCTTTAGGATCTTGTGGTTGTTTTTTTTTACTCCGTTCAACAATTCAGGGTCCCGCGTTCTGGTTTAATTGATTGGGTTAGTTGTTACTTTATCAGTGGTAAGTTTTTCTTGAAACTCTTTTTGTTGATTTGCTCGTTTTAATATCAACCTTGCTTAAAAAGGTTTTCTCATCTCTACTTCTTTAGGATCTTGTGCTCGTCCCTCGTGTAGCTTTTTTTACTTTTGGACTCAGTATATTGGAATCACTTTCTAGGTAGGTATCTTTCTCGATGTTCTTGTTCAATCAATTCTCTAACAATAATCTCACTTGTAATGCACAGAATGGGTCGTGGAAGAGCTGAAAAGGCAAAAAAAGCAGCCGGTATTAAAGTACCAAATCGGAAATCTAAAACTTCAAAATGCTATATTGAAGGGAAGGCTAGATATAGAAAAACTGTACATATTGGACGTCCTCTCCCTCGTAAACACGCCAATAGAACCGCTCTCAAAGCTAAACTTGCTAGAGAGCTAGGGCTTCCTTCCGACACTGTTTTTATTTTCAGGTATAGCTTGAATGATTGACCAGACCTTGGACCGTATGAACCAATCCACATCAAAGAAGGAACTGTGGTTGTTGTGGATAAGAAGACCCTAGATGTAGTATTAATTGTCCGATGTAATCCATTTGCTGAGATGGAGGATGAGCTGAAAGAGAAGTTTGCTCACTCGATATCAACCACTTACCTTCACGCTCGTGCCCGCAACAATTGTAAATTTCACAATTCGATCCAAGGTATCAAGGATGATAAAAGTTACACTGGTTTTATGGGGTGCTGTGGTTGGAGAGGAGGTTGTGAAAAATGCAAATCAGCAGGTGTGTTTGATTCTCTCTCCATGATCTGCTCGAGTCAGACATATCCTTATTCTTCCTTGATATCTTCAGGTGTTTACAGTATCAGTTCTTTCGGTTCTGCAACTGATGAGCGAATTGAAAGTGATCAACAGCGTATGGAACAATTTCAACGGATTCGTGACTTCTGGGCCGAGCGCTTTGGTTCACTCTCCATGTTTGTCTTTCAAACAAATCTGGACTTGGCTTCAGAAGCGGATGTCCCCGGATTTCACGATGCCCGATGGCAGTATACTCAAAACGGCAAGGTCTTTGCATCCAACCTAGTAGTTACCTGCGATGGATTCTATAACGAAGCTCATTTGGATCATGATCGTACAAGGTATAGTTTTGGTATGTTTTGCCTTGCAAATCGGAAGACAGGCCGACCTCATGAAAAGGCAAAAGAAAAGAATCTAGGTAATTCAAAGGGTTCAACATTTCGTGTTGAGGAGTTTGGAATATGTGTCCCATTTTACCTATGTGAGGGAGTGGTAGAAATGATATGGGACACGACTGTAAGTTTTATTCACCCAGCTGAGTGAGGAGATACAGTTTTTTGTGACAAATCTAACCTTTTGATAATCATAGATTCTCCATTATACGACGGAGTCACAGTCGTTCAAGCCAGATGGAAGTGTGACAAAACACAAATTATGTCAGGTGACCAGGTATGGTTCATCCTGTCAGATTTCGGAGTCTTTGGTTCAACGTATCCAGTTCCTTTCTGAGAAGAAGAAAACCATGGGAGAGAAAGAGTGGTTAAAGTATTGCCAGACGCGTGTAAAATCATATGAGGATGAGGTAGAAAAAAAGAAAAAAAAAACTCAGATAAGAAAAAAAAGACATGAACAATTTGTGATTTAGATTGATTGGATAAAAAATGAAAAGATGAACTCAGATGAGATTGATTTAGATTGATTCCAAGAAAGAAAGTGAACAGATTTAAGAACATTTCTTTTTTTAATCATCACCCTGTGCGTTAAAAATGGACTCCATGAGTGAAATTTGGTGAAAACCCTCTTCCCCACAGGTGGGAACAGTAAGAAGTAGATTCACACTGCTGAAAATGCCTTTTGCCCATGTGGGACAATAAGTTTTTGCCCGGATAGAAAAATCACCAGCGAATGTGAGTGAAATTCCTCAAGACTCCATGGGTTAAACTTGCTGAAAAACCTTTCCCCACAGGTGGAAATAGTGAGATGTAAAATCACACGGCTGGAAATGACTTTCACCCATGTGGGAAAATACGTTTTCCCCCAGGTGGGAAAATTTGTTTTCCCCCAGGTGGAAAAATCAGTTCAAACTCTGGTGAATCTGTGGGAAAGACTTTCACCCAGGTTGGAAAATCTGTCTCATTAGGTGGAGTTGCGGGAAGTACTGTTTCACCTATGTGGGAAATAACTTTTTTCTGCACACAGGCGGGAATAGTTTGCACACTCAGGCAACATTGTGGGAAATCCTTTCCCCCAGGTGGGAAAGAACATTCATACTGGAGTGAAATTGTGGGAATGACTTACACCCAACTGCAAAATTTACATATATTTAGGGGGAAATGAACACATGCAAGTTTGTGAAATTGCAAAACATGTTTTAGGTTTTGAAGAGATATGTTTTTGTTGCATGAAATCAGATCTTTGATTGTTAGTCAATTTTGTAAGAGTCTCAAGATCTCAAGGGGGCGCAGGTTATATGTTTTGAATGTGTGGTGGTTTTACACAATCTGAGCGCATTATCAGGCTGGTCTAGTGGTCAGATGAAAGTCTGTGGATGTGTGTTGATTGGCAGATCAGTCTGTGTATGACTTGGTAGGGCAGTATCCGGGCCACAGACAAGTCTGCGGGAATGAATTGGTCAATTTTCCACGGATGGCCAGACAAGTCTGTAGATGGCTTGTCAGAGCCGTGGCCGCAGACTAGTCTGCAGAGATGACTTGTTCAGCTGTGCACGGATTGCAAGACTAGTCTGTATAGGGCTTGGCAGAGCAGTACCTGGGCCGCAGACTAGTCTGTAGACGGCTTGTCAGAGCTGTACCAGGGCCGCAGACTAGTCTGCAGTGATGACTTGTTCAGCTGTGCACGGATTGCCAGACTAGTCTGTATAGGGCTTGGCAGAGCAGTACCTGGGCTGCAGACTAGTCTGTAGATGGCTTGTCAGAGCTGTACCAGGGCCGCAGACTAGTCTGCAGTGATGACTTGTTCAGCTGTGCACGGATTGCCAGACTAGTCTGTATAGGGCTTGGCAGAGCAGTACCTGGGCCGCAGACTAGTCTGTAGATGGCTTGTCAGAGCTGTACGAGGGCCGCAGACTAGTCTGCAGTGATGACTTGTTCAGCTGTGCACGGATTGCCAGACTAGTCTGTATAGGGCTTGGCAGAGCCGTACCTGGGCCGCAGACTAGTCTGCAGAGATGACTTGTTCAGCTGTGCACGGATTGCCAGACTAGTCTGGGGATGGCGCTTGGCAGAGCCGTACCTGGGCCACAGACTAGTCTGCAGAGATAACTTGTGCGGCTGTGCACGGATTGCCAGACTAGTCTGTATAGGGCTTGGCAGAGCAGTACCGGGCCGCAGACTAGTCTGCAGAGATGACTTGGCCAGTTTTGCACAGATGTCCAGACTAGTCTGTATATTGCTTGTCAGAGCAGTACCTCGGCCGCAGACTAGTCTGCAGAGATGACTTGTTCAGTTGGGCGCGGATTGCCAGACTAGTCTGTGTATGACATGACAGAGTAGTATCTGGGCCACAGACTAGTCTGTGGGAATGACTTGGTCAATTTCCCATGGATGGCCAGAGTAGTCTGTGTATGGCTTGTCAGAGTAGAGTACCTGGACCACAGACTAGTCTGCGGGAATGACTCATTCAGTTGTGCACGGATTGCCAGACTACTCTGTGTATGACTTGGCAATGCACCATCTGGGCCACAGAATGGTCTGTGGAGGTGACTTGTTCATTTCTACGCTGGTGGACAGACTGGTCTGGAGGTATGCTCTGGGGGTAGTATCAGTGCTACAGACTGGTCTGCAGGGATGACTTTGCCACTTATACGCGAGTGGCCAGACAAGTCTGTATTCTGTGTGCACATTACTTATACACTGCGCAATACACTGTGTGCAAACTTTTGGCAAATGACTCAAGTACATCATTCTTGACCATCTTGTTTGTTGATTTGTGGTGGACGGCGCCGCAGGCGCCCAATGACTTTGTGTGAAAACACTTTGGTCTTGTGATATTTTTCTTCTACAGACTTGTCTGATAGATCTGGCTGATCTGTACACCAAAAAAGTAATATTATCCGAAGATAACGTGTCTCAGCATCTTCGGATAGTATCCGATAGATCTGTACCTCACAGGTGTCTTTTTTATATGGGGACGGGTCAGGATTGTTGAGGATGGAGGATTAGTTGGCTGGTACGGATAGCAAAATATATACAACAAATTGTAGTAGGGGGACTGCGGCGGGACAATCATTAACAATAAACAATTATAACAACAAATAAAATTACACATTTTTTCCCAAGTTACACACAAGTAAAATAAATTATATTATCATCAAAGTCAATTTTGCGAAGTTACGGATATGTTTCTCTTTTGTCTTTTTTCTTTTTTTAAGGGGACAGAATTGGGTTGTTGAGGATGGTGGATAGCTCGCGGTATTGGATTATTAGTGTTACGGTGAAGCAAATTTATCAAATTAAATCAATTTAAATTACAACAAATTAAGTCTGTAGTAGGGGGTTTGGGGAGAGGCTGCGCATTATCAACAAAACAATCAAAGCGGCAACAAAATTACAATAAAATTGGATATAAAATGGTTACTACTACAGCAAATCTTTTCTTTTCTTTCTTTTCTTTTACGGGGACGTGAATTGGGGTGTTGGATTGGCTGTAGGATGGATAGCATTACAACAACATTTATGATTACTATTACGGAAAATTTTGCGTTTTACGAGTTAAAGACTTAGCATTTCATTTACGGCGAGTGCGCATCTGGCGAAACAACGCAACTTACAAGTTACAATTATAACATTACATTTTAAAGATACAAAGATACATATATTTCTTGCGAATTAGTACTAGTTAGATACGGGACGGAACCCGGTGCGCGTGAATTTATTGTCAAGGCCTAGATTAGAGGTTACTTGAAGTTTGTTTTAGAATATTGTTTGAATTACGGGAATAAGAAAATATTATCAAAATATCTCAAAGGTTACGGTTATGATTTTACGAGGAGGTTGGCGAAGTTTTACGGATAAGTGCAACGGGAAGATGTTATATTTTAGTAAGAGATGAATGAAAAGTAGAAGTTGACGTAGTGGTTTTTGATTTAAGTTGGGGGAGGCAAATCACAATTGCAGAAATTTTTCATCGAAGTTGGGGGAGGTCGTCATCAATTATTTCTTTCAAGGCATACATAGTTTTCACAAATTTGCAGACATTTTATTTCGAAAATTAGCGGTAGCGCTGAGGACAGCGTAGAAGTTGGGGGAGGATGTGAAAAGCAAATCCTTCAACAGTGTATGATATCACATTATCATAACTACAGTTTTCAAAATTAATGATCTTTACATTCATAATCTCAAGGCTCAAGTTTCATCCTCAAGTTGATTGGGCTCATCCCATTTCTGATCATAGTTTTCTGGCTTTGAATTAGGTGCCTTGATTACTTTATAACATCTCATTATTACATTAGATAAACTACATACAAACAAAATCAGACAAATGAAAGAGGAATTCTTAAAAACATAAGTCAGTGGCTAGCTGCAAAGAAATGAAAATGAAAGCAAAAATCGAAATGTATACAGATTATCATTGACTGATATTGACTGAGATTGAAACAATCAACTGAAGAACTGGT